GACAGGCGCACAAGAGCCCCTCCACGTAGGATCATCCGAGAGAAGACACAAAACGCTGAGGGATCCCCCCTGGGCTCTAGGTCTAACCGTCGACATGGCCATCCTTCTGAGATTAAGAAGCTCCCTGTCCGAAATCCCAAAAAGGCCAGAGCCATACACAGCTCCAGCCAACGGGCCCGCCGCGAAGACCTTCAGGCACTTGCGGCCAAGAACCTGCTGGAGGCCCTTGAGTTTTTTGGTCTTTCTCAGCGCAGCCGCCGCTCTAGACTTTAATTTAGCCGCACGCCCTTTGGTACGAACAGGCCTGCCCGCAGTGAAGTCAGAACCCAGATTAGTAACCCGAGAGCAGGCAGGTCCAACTAGAGGTCCCAGGGTCTCCGTGAGCTTTCTGGAAACATCTGGGGAGTTGCTGATCATCCCCACTTTGTCCATGGCCAGCTTGCACTGGAGCGTCGCCGTGATGGCACAGTGGAGCGCCTTGGCCCCCGCCGTGAGGCTGGCAACTACTACCTTAGCAGGTCCCGTGCAGCTGAGACTAAGGTCATCCACGTAGGCGTCGAAGTCAGTTGAAGCACCTGGGCCCTTGGGAATCGAAACGAGGGCCTCATCAAAGGCCTGCATGGCAAAACCACGGATGAGGCTGGTCGCAAAAGAGCAGCCCGCCACTACACCCTTGGAAACAAAATACGGGCCCTGGATGATGCCCCCAAGGGCCAGAAAACGCGCACTCGAATACGCCCTGATGGCCAGTCTCGCAAGAGGCAACGGGAAACGGAAATGCACGCACTGCAGCCAAAGGTACCCCAGGTCGATGTGCTCATAGTACTTCCTGAGATCCCAGAAAATGGAAACCGAAACTTCTTTCTTGCGAGTTCCCGCTTCGGCCCTGAAGGCCTGCCTCCAGACAACGTCACCCGCTCCCCTGTTAGCCCCAGCAGCCCAGTACTTCCTAGGGTAGGCGAGCTCCCACTGAAGGGCCTCCTGGCGACGGGCACGACCCCAAAGGCGGTACAGGCTCGGGAAAACACCGATGGGTCTGAACCCACCCGTCGGCTTGGCCAACAGGGCCATAAGAACCCACGAGAGCTGTTTGGGCAGCTCACCAGTGGCTTCCCAAACGGCAAACCACAGGGCCAGGGCATGCAAAGCCTCATCGGGGAGAAGGCTGAAATGACGACAGTGGAAACCATCAACGCTCACAGCAGAGGAGGTACGGTACCTCTTGGACACAGCTCGGAGCTCGGCTGGCTCTAAAATTCGCCCATGGGGCAAAAGGCCATGGTCAACGCCGATGCCTTTGCCAGTGCCCCAAATAGCAGCAAACTTGTCGCCTTCGGCCTGCAGTAAAGACACTGGGTCGCAAACTATGGTACCACATCTGGCTAGGGTGGTGGAGGGTTTCCAGGGTTCGGGATCCTTGATGGCCCTCTGAGCGTTGCGACCACCAGCATCGATACCCGTACGCACCCACTCTTGCCACCCAAGCCGCGAAGCATTCGCAGCGGTGACCTTAGCAGCAGCGACGGCTTGCGCAACCTAATCGATCAGGTCGTCCAGATCAGAGCCGAGCTCAGGATCCAGCACAGGTGAAAAGGCGCATCTAGCTAAGGCCGCACTGGCCTTGAAGAGCGAGTGGAACTCAGAGCTCTCCTGCACCGCCACGGCCGTCGGAGGCTGGAGGATCGAGTTGAGCACCTGTCGTCCAGCCTCCTGCAAGGCCGAATCCGAGAGATAGCACCTAACTGCTCGCAGCTGATTACACAACCAGGAAATAGACCGTAATACAGGATCTTTTTCCCGCCCCGCTGGGCGGAGCACAGACTTCCAGTAAACCTGGGGCCGCTTCCCCCGAGTGCCCAAAACCTTGAGATCGGCCCCAAGAGAGTTGGCGAGGTCTTTTTCGGCCGCATCAGCCCAAAACTTGTATCCAATGCCCAAAAGCTTGCGCGCTTTTCCCGCGCCCCCGTGAGTGACCGCCCCAAACGCTTCTTCGGTCAAATCAAGCGCAGCACTCCAGTCACCAGACTTGGGCGCAGGGCCAACAGGCGGGAGCACGGGCAACGGGGGGGGGGTTGGCGGAAGGCAAGAGCCTTAAGATCGCCCAGGGAGCTGTGAAAGCGAAGCGACACAGGGCGATGTGGAGTGATGCTGGAGTCACCTTCAACAAAAACACTCTTAAGACAGAGGCTGAGAGCCTCCGACACCACAAAGAAATCAAAACGGTCAGGAGGGCCCTTGCTGGGGAAGTGGGTGTGACCTTCAGGAGCAATCGTACTAGCCCGAAGCTTTTTGCCAAAGTCAGAAGCTTCAATAACCTCGGGACCCATGTTCCAATCAGCCCCGACGATAAACTCACAACCCAAGGAGTCCAAAAATTCCCCGACAACCCCCAACACTTCTCGATTGGATTCATAGAGACCTTCACTGTGAATGAGGTAGAGGCTGCAGACACAAAACGGAGCACACCCTGGTACATGAACCACGGTGGCAACAGCACGACCAGGAACGAGAACAGTACTCCCAGCAGCTTCGAAAAGCCCTAGGCAATCTTGAACACAGACGCAAACTCCCGAAGATACTCCTCCTCCCTCACCAGGCAAGCCAGATGCCCACAGCGTTTTCCATCCCAGAAACTTTGACGACTTCGAAGCCTGGTCCAGAGCACTAGGATCTTTAAGCCGATGTTCCTGAGCAATAACCACATGAGACCTGGCCGAGGAAAGAAAGTTCTTGAGAGTGCCCCAGGAATTGGCGTTCACAGTAGTCACCAGTAGGCCCTCGTCAAGCCTGATGCAGCCGTCGGCAGCACCCTGGGCAGCTGGCGTGGGGGCTGAGGTCGCTGGAAGCCGTTCGTCGTCAGAGACGGGCCTCATGCAGGACCAGGCCCTGGCGGAGCTAGCACCAGGAAAAAGGGCATCGGATTGCGGCAATCGTGCGACTGGAGAACCTTCACGAGCTTCACCAGCCTTCACGCAATACTGCTTCCCGACCGCTCCAGGCAGAGGCAGAGAGGAAATGCGAGAGGCTCCTGGGCTTTCTGGGGGTACCTGAATTCCGGCACAGGAGAGCGGGGCGTCGAACGAGGCCCCAACAAAGCAGGCCCCAAACGGAAACCGCAAACGCTTGGAGAGCCGAACCCCAGAGGCCTGAGACCTGGAGCCTATCACAGACACTCTCGAAGCTAAAAAGTTAAAAAGGTCCCAGGAGGGTTTCAAGCCTGGGTCCCCACCCTCAGATTCCTGCCCCCCGCCACCTCTAAGACGCGGCAGGGGGCTCAGAGTCCTTGAGAGCCTGGTCGACCTTGGCTCGAATGTCCTCTTGCGGTGCAGCCGAGGCCTGGACAGCCTCAGCCGTCCCCGCAGCTGACGCTGCAACCTTGGCACCTTCAGAAGGCACCCCAGCTCCAGCTCCCGCCGCGGCAGCAGCATCGTCATGAGAACCCCCGACAACTTCACCCTCCGTGGTCTTCCGCTTTTTTGCCACCACTCGAAGCCGATGAGCTTCATGCTGTTCGCGAAGAGCCCTGGCGTGCGAAGCGACTTGGGCGAAAAGGTCCCTGGCCAACTTGGTGACCCCAGAAGAAAGATCCTCCTTCCTTTTCTGGAACTGCTCGAGGTCAGCCGCGTCCACATCGTGGTCCGTCGAGAGATCCTCCAACATGTGGCTGCAGTCGATGAGCTTGCCGAAATCGACATCGCCTGCAACCAAATCCTCGAGCTTGAACGAAATAGAGTGCGCCCGCTCCTCGGCAGGCTGATGGGGGCCCTTGCAGGACCGCCAGCGTCTCCTTGTAGTCCAAGTCCGCCTTGTCGAGATGATCCCGAAGCGACCGTAGCGAAGCTTCCGCCTCAACGAGCTGTTCCCGAAGACGCGTGACTCGGCCCAGCTGCTGTTCCAACTGCTTCTCCAGCTTGCGCACCATGGAGTGGGCCTGCTGCATCCTCGTGTGGTCAGAGACAACCACGGGCTTCGCTGCTGCTTCCAGATGCTTCGCCATGTCCAGGTACTTGGCCGCCGCTCCGACATCGCCCGCCTTCTGAAGCGATTCGCCCAAGGCCTTGGCCTCCGACGCTGAAATGGAGGGCACTGGTCCCACAGGAAGTGGAGGAGTGCCTCCTCCTGCTCCTCCAGCGCGCGCATCTCCTTGACTGGCCAGCACATCCCACATCGTCTTGTCGCCGCCATAGTAGCCCTTACCTTTGCCTTTGCCACTAGACACACGGCCTGCTCCTTTGCCCCCGAAGTTCTGGAAGAAGGGCCCCTTGCCGCTGAAGCCGTTCCCGTACCAGAAGCCAGGAGGGCCTGACGCGGCCCAGCGACCTCCAGCAAGAGGCCCATCGCCATGAAACAGCCGAGGAAGAGGGTGAGCGCAGTGCTTGCAGTGCGAGGCATTGACACTGCTCTTCTTGCAGCCGCAGGATGGGCAAGCGAAGCTCGAGACTTGAGCCTTGCCACGGCGCCCTTTCGCAAGCGACCATCCCTCATCATCCTGCGGCTTGACCCAGGGCGCATGCGGGAAAGGGTCTGGCACCATCAAGACGTGATGCCGAAAGGAATGCTCCAACAGGAGCTCACAAACTCGCCAGAAATCCTCGTCTGACCAGGCAAACGAGGGACACTGTGGGGGCCGCTGCTCCCCCTTGCCAGTAAGGTCAGGTCCTGTGCCAAAACGGCTCCGGACTTGAGCCAAAATGGCTACGGAGATACCTCCTCCTCCTCCTCCTACTCCTCCTCCTCCTCCTCCTCCTCCTCCTCCTCCTCCTCCCCCTTCTCCTCCTCCTCCTCCTCCTCCTCCCCCTCCTCCTCCTCCTCCTCCTCCTCCTCCTCCTCCTCCTCCTCCTCCTCCGTCCTCCCCCGTCCTCCTCCGTGCTCGGCGCCGTCGTCGGTCGTGGGCCGTCGGCCGTCGTCGCCCGCCGCCCTCCGTCGGTCGTCCTCCGCCGCCCCGCCCCCTCGCAAGCGCCCTGCGCCGCCTCTCTGCCGCCCCTCCGCGCGCGGAGGAGCTCACGCAGATCACCCGCTGGGGCCTCTTCGGGGCCTGACGGGCGCGTCTCCGGGCGGCGCCTGCCCCCGCCGGCGAGACCGCGGGGAGGGCCCCCCCTCGGCAGGAAGGAGGGGGGTCCTGGGAGCAGCGGGTCCTCCCTGCGCTGTCTTCGGGCGCCTGGGGCCTCTTCCTCCTCCTCCTCCTCCTCCTCCTCCTCCTCCTCCTCGTCCTCCTCCTCCTCCTCCTCCTCCTCCTCCTCCTCCTCCTCCTCCTCTTCCTCCCCCTCCTCCTCCTCCTCCTCCTCCTCCTCCTCCTCCTCCTCCTCCTCCTCCTCCTCCTCCTCCTCCTCCTCCTCCTCCACCTCCTCCTCCTCCTCCTCCTCCGCCTCCTCCTCCTCCTCCGCCTCCTCCTCCTCCTCCTCCGCCTCCTCCGCCTCCTCCTCCTCCTCCTCCTCCTCCGCCTCCTCCTCCTCCCCCGGGCCCGTCGAGAACTCGGCACGCACGAAGTGGGTACGGAGCCGGAGCCAGCGGGCCAGAGCCCCGAAGCATCGGGGTTGGGGGCGGGCAGGAGCCTCGCGGGCCCAAGCCGGAGGTAGCCCGGACCGCAGCTGTCCCTCGTATTTCGGGCGTCGGCCCCTCCCGGATCGTCGGGGCTGGGGGGGGGCAGTCAGGGGCAGCTGCGGGCTCGTGGCTCGAGGGCACAAGCCAGAGCTCCCCCCGTGTCGCAGCTATCCTGGATAACTCGGGCGTCCACAGGGGGACAGAGGCCGACAGCAGTTCCTGATTCTTTGGAAGAGGACTCGCTGCGGGTGCCGCCGCGGGCATAGCCCGTTTGGGACAGGGGGCCGCCTGCCCAACAGCAGCCGCTGTCGGTTTGTGGCAACATTGGTTGTTGGGCATCGTACCCATGTTTTCCGTACCCATTTCGGGCGTCCCGAAAAAACAGTTTGAGGAGTTGGCTTTGGTAAAAAAACAGACAAACATTGCATAAGCCTAATTTCTTTGAGGCCCGCGCGGATTTCTTGGATCGGCGCTGGGTCACCCTAGCCCGCGCCTCCGGCGCCGCCCCTAGCGCGCCCCACGCGCCAGGGAGGGGGGGACCAGCGCCGATCCAAGAAATTTGCGCGGACACCTGAGAAGTCATGTTTAATCATGTTTATGTTTGTGTCCGTTGATTGTTGCCTTACTTGGGCAAAGCCCCAGGGACCAGGATTTGTTTCACCACCAGGACCCGCTTCCTTCGGGCCAACGTTCTCGCGCGAGAGGGGGAGACGTGCATGATGCATGTTTGGCAGAGGCCTTTTGGGTTGCACGCGCAGTGCCACCTCTTGCGACATGGGAACTTCGCTCTCGAGACGTCGATCCTATCCTCCGGGTCATTCCAGTCCAGACCAGGTCATGTGAGGCCAATTGGGGCTTTCTGACAGGAGGCCATTCCACAACCAGCGCTTGCACTGAAGGGGTCTTACTGTCCGCGAGAGGGTCGCTGGAGGTTGGCCGCCGGGTGTGGTGGACGGCCAGGTGCCGGGATTCTAAGCTCCTGGTTTGCGTGCAGGCTTGTTGCCGACTCTGGAAAGCGGCCCGTACCCGAGTGTCCTTGCTGGTACAGTCGGGGCGCTGAGGAAGGAACCCTTTTCGTTGGGGAGGGGCTCGGTGTTCCTTAGTTGTTTTGCAGTTCGCCTTTGGTTTTGCTTAGGGTTTCGATGGGAAATCTAAGTTTAACTTATGGAGAATAGGGGCCTCGTTCCTTGATTCAGGGTCCCTCAGGTCAACGCCCCGACTGCAGGTGAGTTCGGTGAGACTGTGCTGGCGGTTCCAGGGGGCGGGAAGGCTTCCGATGTTCGTGGTTCCACGTCCTGTGTCCTTGGGCACCCGCCGACGTTCGAGGAGGAGGAGGAGGAGGAGGAGGAGGAGGAGGAGGAGGAGGATGAGGTTCCACGTCCTCCGCCGACGTTGTTGTGGCCACAGTCCTGGGGCTTCGAAGGTACAGGCAGGGCAGAAGAGGGAAGAGAGAGTACGTTCGGCGGCGGAGGCCGAGCCCTGCCCCCGCCGATCGCAGCGAATGCAGACGAGTTGATAGGAGGCCGACGAGGAGGACGACGAGGAGGACGAGGAGGGAGGACGAGGAGGGAGGAAGGAGGAGGAGGAGGGATGAAGGAGGAGGGAGGAGGGAGGAGGGAGGAGGGAGGAGGGGGGAGCGCGCGCGGAGGCGCGGCGACGAGGCGCGCACGGGGGATATGCCGAGGTGGCCCCCCAAGGCGCGCGCCGACGAGGCGGCCGCGCGGCCGACGGGGGTAGGGTTCGGAATTGATCGAGCGTGGCGAAATCAGAGCCCTACCCCCGCCTCCCACCGATTCAGGAGAATCGATGGTTGGTGGGGGTAGGGTTCGGATGGCGCCACCTGTCTATTGAAACATGCGCAGAAATTCGAGAGTCAGAAGGAGGAAATTCGATAGAGAGGTAACCTACAGTAGCGAGAACGGAGATGTTAGAGAGGAGACAGAATTGTGAGAGCAGGAGCAGAGAGAGAGAGAGTAGAGATGGTAGAGAGAGCAGAGAGTGTAGAACTAGCAGAGTGGGCATGTGGTATCATGCCAGAGGGGGGGATATACATATACATATACATATATTTTTAGATAGAGAGACATATAAGCATATACATATATAGAGAGAGAGAACGCGACATACCTAAATGTATGTATACATGGAGTGAGAGAGAGAGAGAGAGAGAGCGAGGAGAGAGAGATAGAGAGAGAGAGAGAGAACAAACACATGATATAGCAAGTAGACATATTTTATATATATATATATATATAGAGAGAGAGAGAGTGCACAGGGAGTTCAGAAAAGAGAGCAGGGGGTGCGTAGATCTCAAAAGTGCGAAAAGTCAAGAGTACAGAGAAGTCAGAGAGTGGACGGTAGAAGGCAGAGGGTAACGAGTAGAGAGCCGAGCGTAGAGGATGCATATAAGAGAGTAGGGAGCAAACAGCACAGTAGAGAGACCAGAGCATCAATTGGAGAGGTAATAGCTGAGAGCAGAGCATAAAAATAGACAATAGAGAGCACAGGAGGGTAGAATATATCAAATGCAGCAGGGGGGCGTTACAGAGAGAACCATTTCGGTCACCGTTTGCGGTCGCCCATCATCAGCCTACTGTATCCACGCTGTCGGCACGAGCAAATGATTGGTGACTTCCCCGGTGTAGTGTAGTGGATAGCTTTGCCCACAGGCAACGCCAGTAGAGGATGTTTCCATCTCGCACGGGGTCCAGGAATTTCATAGACGGCAGTATTCGCAGAAATTCGTAGAGGGCAACGCAAGGCATCTTCATCCGTGTCCGCACCATCGCGCGCCTGGCTCCCCCTGAGTGTCCCGACATCCAGATTCGCAGGGCTATTCCGAGTCATCCCCCTTGGCCGTCTTCTGATCCTCAGCGAAGCTCTGGGACCCTAAGCTTGCCTGTTGTGGCCAATCCAGGAGAAGGAGGTGTACTTCGGCAGGCATAGGGGAAGAGGGGTATATGTTATGGCCCACTGAGGCGGGTGAGATGTACGTTCTGCTTTCACCTTCTGGCTCTCTGCCCTGCCTGCCTCCGAGTCGGCATTACGCGCGAGCGCCTTGGAGCACTGCGTGGCAGATGGGCCCAGACGAGCGCGGCACGGGTCGGGCAGTGCAGCGTGGTGGTTCCTCGCTGGCTCTCCCTCGTGCTCTCCTCTCCGTGCGGGCCTGTTGCCCGGGGTCTCCTAGCCACCGCGGCCACACGCTTCTGCTGGCCACGCTGCTCGGGATCCTGTCCGAAGCAGGAGCAGGCCCAGTGGCCGATCTCGATGGCGCGCCGGCTGGGGCCGGAAGGAGAGATCGGGCTGGGGCCGTTCTCGGGCGGGGCGTGGTGTTGCCAAGCGGCAGATGAGATAAGATGACGTCACTGTTGCTACACATATAGAAGAGAAGGCGTTTTGTGGACGCTGGGAAGGGGGAGGGGGCGGTTCGAACCACCGTGGGAGGGGGCGGGCTGAATTGCAGGGGAGGGGTTCAAACCGCCGGCCCTCCCCCCCTCAAGGGGGGGGGAGTCGCACTGGCCCCCCCCCCCCTCCTGAATTGCAACGGGGGGGGAGGGGAGGAGGTTCGAAGCGGCACCCCCGTTCCCTTCGCCAGTGGCAAACGACGACGCCGATCTCCGGCGCCAGCGCCGTCTGGCAGCGACGACGACGACGATGACGACGACGGCGACGACGACGATGACGATAGAGCCCCGATAGGGTTCTAAAAGAGCTGGCCCTAGCAGGATTTGATCAGAGCTGGATCGAGCCTTGGTAGGGGTCCATTAGAGCTGGATCGAGTCCTTAACAGGATTCCGTGAGAGCTGGATCCAGCCCCAGAAGGATCTTGTTAGAGGCGAAAAGAGCCCGAATCGAATTGTTATAGACCTGGGTCCAAGCCTACTGGTATTCAAGTCAGGCTGGATCGAGTCTTAATAAGATTCGTGTAGAGCTGGACCCAGCCCTAATAGGATTCTAGCAGAGCTGGATCGAGCCCTCGTAGGGTTCGATTCGAGCTCGGTCCAGCCCTAGTGGAATTTGTTCAGGGCCGGATGCAGCCTTAGTAGGGTTACATCAAAGCTGGGTCGTGCCTGAGTAAGATTCTAGTAGAGCTGGATACAGCCCGAGAAGGATCCCACTAGAGCTGGATCCAGTTCATGTAGGATTCTACTAGAGCTGGATCGAGCCTTGGGGGGATTCTGTTACGGATGAATCGAGCCCTTCTGGGATTCTTTAAGAGTTGGATCGAGCTGGTCGTCGTCGTCGTAATCATCGGTCGCCGTCGTCGTCGTTGGCCGCCGTCGTCGTCCCTTGGTCGTCGGCGTCGTCGTTTACCATCCTTCGTCGCTCGTCGTCTGTCGTAAGTTGTTTTTGTCGTGGTCGTTGTCGTCCTCGTCGTACTGAGTCGTCGGCGGTGCCCGTCGTCGTCCTTGGTCGTTGTCGTCGTCCATCGTTTGTCGTGGCCTCGTGCTGCGTCGTC